CCTTAAAGTGCTCAATATTTTTGGACACTAAAATACTCTTGAATTGTAATCCAAAATTTTTCAAGTAAGGGCATTTTTAGGTCATTTAGAAGGGTAGAATGGATATTTTTATAAGAAAACAGTGGCATTCTATTAGTAGTTAAAAACAATTAATGCATCTTGTGGGTGACGTCACATCACCATATCGATGATGTCATTGTCCACTATTGTTAATAAATGCTTTTGTTTCTATTAAGAATTTTTAGTTTACCCTTGACTAATTACTTAAAATACCCCTAAACAAAAAGTTACTAAACTATAGGATAATGGTATCTAAATGTCTAAAAATGTTGAGCACTTTAAAGGTCTACACAGTGGTGTAGGCTAACAAAACCCTATATATATATATATATATATGGAAAAGTTTATATAAGGTTGCAACTTTAAAATGTAGAACTACGGATGCATCTAAAAAATCCATTGAAAATGGTTGTTTTAATGTTGAAAAACCCTCTAATTGATTATCTCAACGTTGAGATGTATGACTATGAAATAAAAAAGATTTTGAGTCCCAGAAATAGTGCATCTTACAACACATTATCTAGACTGTCCATTTTCAACATTTTCATATGTTTATAGATCTACTTGATTTTAACCATTTTTAAAGTTCAAAATTTTATAATTAGATAGAAAATTAGATTTTGAGATAATCCTAAGAATATTTTACATCGAAATTATATGTTATGATAAAATTTGAAGGTGTACCTCAATTGGATTGTTTAAGGTTGCAACCTTATGGAAACCACACCCTATATATATACATATATATATGTATATATATGTATATATATATATATGTGTGTGTGTATATTTTGTGTGATAGATCATTAGGGATTACAGGCCTACTCATTTTGGAAAGAGTCAATTTTTTTAAAGTATTAGTGAGAATGGAGGGCTCAGGTCGTACTATCACAACGACCCCAGCCCCATTTTCGAATGGATGATTGGTTTATGTTGCAGAACATCAAGTTTTGCTTTCCCCAAATTTGCAGGAAATTATTCAAGAGCAGATAACTCGAGTTCTAATGGAACGCCTGATTGTCAGCCGGCCTCATCCATGGGGTTTGCTCATTACTTTCATTGAGCTATTGAAGGTACTATAAATATCATGACGTCTCTCTCCACCAAATATGTCTAGTGTAGATCTGTTAGTTGCTTTCCATTTCTCATGGTTATTTTTTGCTGCTTTTTCTAAACTTGTGTCATTGTATCATTTGTGGTTTCTCCAATCATTTATATGATCCTCATTTGTTGCTCTCTCTCTCTCTCTATATATATATACATGGATCACTAATTTGTTGGGGCTCTTATGTACACAGAATCCTCGCTACAATTTTTGGAGCCATCCTTTCATAAAGATTGCACCAGAAATAGAGAGGGTGTTTGATTCAGTGGCTAGATCGTGCTTTGTACCTCAGAACAAGGCCATGGATGATGGGATCATGCCTGGCGCATTACCTGAGGCCAACCGCTAACTCAACACACATTATGTTGTCCATGTTGTATATTATGTATCTCATTCTTCATGCCTGGGCACCATTCTTGTTTATCCCTTGGTTATAGACATTGCTGATGCTATTATTGTTCATATTCTTGAAAAGAAATGTGTATTGAAATGCTTTTTTGTCAATATAATTCTAATGTGTATTGAAATGCTTATTTGTCAGTATAATTCTTATATTGGTTTAATCGGTTTCCGTTTCCGAGAGAGGTATGTCATGGTTCAGAGAGAGAGAGAGAGCAGGTTAGTTTATGCTATTTTGAAACATCAAAGTGGACTATGTTGGTCTACATGCCACAGGTTCAGAGAGAGGAGAGAGCAGTTTTGTTTCTGGGGAAACGTACCAAAATGTCACGAGGGATAACTATATGGTAGAAGTTTAAGGTTGCAATTTTATTTGTACAAAAAGAACAAGAAAAAAGGGAATTGTATACTATGAGGCCATTTGTTTTTTCAACCATGACCACGACCTCTGCCTTCCATCACCTCTACCTCTACCTCGACCTCTTTCTGAATCAAGGCAAACGTGCAAATTTATTTAATCTCTCTACCCTTAAAGCCTGCTACCCCAGTAGACTCATGTTGGAAATTGTTGTCTTCAAGGCTCTTTTATTCAATATATCCAATTATTATGTGTATAAATATATTAATTAATAAAATATCTTTCTGAGGTGAATAACGATAGGAGCTGGATCTCAATTCCTATAGGCCATTAACTGGGGTAGGGGCTCTAGAAAATAGAGGGTTTCTTTTTAGATTAGCCTCCTTGTGTAGTTTGGAGTCAGATCCAAGTATCAGTAATCCTATCAATACATTATTTATTTATTTTATCTATTTGTTGTGTGTTTTTTGAACAATTGTTTCATGCGGGGTGGATCACATTTGTACAATATGCGGTCCAAAGGTATAAAGCATGTAAATAGGTGGTCTATTTAAAAACATTTGTAACCAACGGTCCAAATGTTTTTTTAAAAAGTGATAATATTTGTAGTTTTCAAAATTTATTTATTTTTCATATTCGTGATTTCCATGTTAAAGATTATATATTTTTTAAAAATTAGGCTCAAATTAAAATTTTAAAAATATATTTATTGTCAAGCCCGCATTTTTACATGTGCCACATGCTAACTGCATCCTTGTTTTTTTGCAGGGACCAACAATTCATACATCTCCTCCATGTCATATTCTCTTAAGCTTTCCGCTCTCAATAGTCCTAAATCGTTGTGTTCTTCATGTTTGTGGCACTTATTTATTTATTTTTCTTCGGCTTTTCTGGTCATTCTTAGAGGTAACGATTGTGTGAACGCACCACATTAGTTGCAAGCCACTTTTCATGTATTATTACAATATTGGTTGATTTTCTTCTTCCTTTTTTTTTTTTTTAATATATATTTAAAGATATGGGGTGGTTCTGGGGTTTCCATTGATGGGTTTTATGTTCATATCTATAATTATATATTTTGTTACTATAATAAGTGAAAGTTTATGCGGTAGAAAAATTAAATAAGCTAAAACGGAAACCGGCATGAGTGGTCTTGCCATATAGACTATCATGGTACTATTTGCTATGGACATTTTGAGAACTAAACCCTACTTTTTCCTTAAAAAAATAGTCAATACATAAAAAACATCATCAACATTAAGAAAATAAAAAATTATTATTTTAAGTTATAAAAAAATTACAAAACAACATACCAAAATAAATCTGGAATTTGTTACACTTTCTATAAGGATGAAAACACATGCATAGCTATAATGCATCCTCTCTTTTTTCCGCTATTTAGCTCCTCTCTCTCTTTTACCCCCTCTCATGCCCCCTCCTTTTCTTTCTCTCTCACACCCTCGCTGTCTCCCCTACCCCCTTTCTTTTCTCTCTTCTACCCTCTTCTCTCCGTCTTCTCTACCCTCTCTCTCACATACTCCCTAATTTAACGAAATAATATAGGAAGAGCTGATCTTGGAGGTTGCGAGAGAGATGAGTTTGTCAAGTAGGATGAAATAAATATTCAAACTTATTCCAGAATAGGGAGATGAGTTTGGCAAGTAGGAAGAAATAAATATTCAAACCTATTCCAGAATAGAAAGACATATTTCTCTCTCTCATTTGGCTATCTTAAAATGACTGTGTATTTTTTCTCTTCCTTCCCTAAAGTTAAGAATGTGTCCTACAATTTCAGTAGAATATCCCTCTTTTTTTAATGGTAGGAATGTCTCTTACAACCTCTACAGAATTTGGGTCTTTTTGTTTATTTTTTTGGCATGTATCCACTCATTAACTCTGGCTTAATAATTTAGTATAGATAATTAGATATGAAAATAGATTTTCAAGTAACCCTAAGAATTTTTTACACCAAAATTGCATGTTATGATAAATTTAGAGGTGCACCTTTATTGGATTGGATTGTTTAAGGTTGCAACCTTACACAAACCACACCCTTTGTAATAAGCTCAAACTCAATATTTTCGTTTTAAGATTTGAACTTAGAAACAAATAAAAATGATTTTAGAGCTCTTTAGTCCAACAAATCACATGGCAATTAGGCGTCGGACCCAATGGACATTTGGCCCAGGGGTACTTCCGAATCTTTCTTTTTACATCCCATTCAACTCTTAATCCTAATCTGATATGAACTACTATCCATAAAGAGAGAGAGTTTATCCCTAAAATTATGGTGCAAATATTTTTAGTTTCTAGTTCACACTTAAACAAGAAATTAAATTTCTTTTTTAATTTTTATAATAATTTAAGAGAAAAAATTACGTGCTTTTGGATGGATAGTTTATACGTTATTTTGAGAAAAAAAAATCTAAGAAAACTGGAACTCCAACTCCATATGTCTATCTTATATCCTTAGAACTATTTGTAATAAAGAAAAATATACAAGGAGACAATTTACCTTTGATATAGTTGTCACAATTAATCTTGACCATTGGATGTGAAATTAGATGATTGTATTATTCCATTGACCATGCACAAATTTTAAAAGAATTTTTTTCGAACTTTGTGACATACCCAACAGATTTCATATTAGATGGTTATAAATAATTATGACTTCCTTGTATCAAAGGTAAATGGTCTCATTGTATAATTTTTTTTGTTTTTTTTTTAATTTACTATTTTTACCCTTTGAAATCATTTTTTTTTCTATATCCATACATCTCAAGGTGGAGATGATCACTCAGAAGATTTTTCAACACCAAAACAACCTTTTCAAATTTAATGAATCCTTATTGCAAAAAATTATATGGATATAGAAAAAAAAGATTTCAAACTGTAAAAATAGTAAATTCAAAAAGAAAAAAGAAAAAAAAGAAGAGAATGCTTTATTAAATATGGATCTTAAAAAATAAGCGTTGTTAGGTTAGAAATCCTAAGCAGCATGGGATGAGGATCTAGAATTAAATTAGGCTATTTAGAATTAATAAGCATTGTTAAGTTGGAAGTCCCAAGTAGCATGGGCTATTTAAGATTATGATAAACACGAGGAGCTACCTAATTCTATTAGAATTAAGAAAATTGAAATCTATATATAAGGAGGCCACCCGCCCTTGTTAGAGAGATAAAATTGTAGAGATAAACTGTAGAGAGAGAGTTTCCTAAAGAGAAAATTGAAGAGATAAATTGTATTTTGTTGTATATAACTTTTGCCTGTAGCCTGTTTGCCTCCAAACCATATACAGGAAACTGAATCATTTGGAAGCATTCTTGAAGGTGGAGTTTCTCACTTTTAATTTGTTGAAAAATGATTATTTATGCTTTTTACTTCCTCTTGATTTCATATCTTGCTATTTTCCCTATTAGATTTGTGAAATTCCTATTAGACCAAGATGAGATAGAGATTTCTCTCATGAAGTATTTTTTCAATATATGAATGCATAAATTGATTGTTTAGTATACTTTAAAATGTGTTTCGACTGCTACTTTTAATTGATGCTTTAATATAATTGTAATTATTATTGTAATTATTAATTTAAAGTAAGGCTTTAATTTTTATCTAATTTATTTCTAATATAAAGTACGGCTTTAATTTTAGGGTGTGGTTTCTACAAGGTTGCAATCTTAAACAATCAAATTAAGGTGCACTTTTAAATTTTATCATAATATGTAATTTTGGTGTAAAACGTTATTAGGATTATCTTAAAATCTATTTTCAACTCTAATTATAAAATTTTAAACTATAAAAATGGTTAAAATAATGTAAATATAAAAATATTGAAAATAGACGATCAAGATAATGTGTTGCAATATGCACTATCTCTGGGACTCAAAATCCTTTTGTTTTTCATATTCATGCATTTCGATGTCGAGATGATCAATTAGGAGGTTTTTCAACATTAAAACAATCGTTTTTGATAGGTTTTTTAGGCACATTTTAACTTCTGCAACCCTATATAAACTTTTCCTTAATTTTAATCTAATTTATTTCTCAAACTCTATAAAAACTTACCATGTTGAAGATACTAGGGGGAGAATCCCACTCTTAAGAATCACAATAAGTTACCTTATGAAGAATTGGGTGGAGAATCCATTCACCCAAGTGAAAATCTTTTTGGGTGGCAGAACAAAAAATATTGAAAAATATCAGTCACTAGCTTCCTGTGGATATCTTTGTTGAGGTAGATGATAAGAGTTCCCATATATCATAAAAGAAAAAAATGAAAATAAAATAAATAATCTAAAATAAACTTTCATTTTAATTTAACAATCATAATGGTAAAACTTTTCGTATTTTATTAAACACCCAGTATCCACAAAACAAAAACCAAATATTCAACAAAATATGTATTAACACCTTTAAAAATATTAAAAGACAAAGACTAAAACACTATAGGTAGCATGCATTAAATTCGTGGAAATTAATTTTTTCATAAAGAAGGGTGCTAGCTCATCTATAAAATTAAAAATTAGTAGGTTGTTATCTTAATATCATGGGAGCGTAACTTTTTTTTTATCTCAATATCATGATAGATTAACTTTTGAAGAAAGATTAGTGGCTTATCTTATTCCAAATCAAAGATCTCTTATTTTGGAAGGAAGTGTATTTATTTTTACTCCTAAAATCCAAGAATCAATTAAAGGGTGGAAAGGAGTCTATCGATTTCTCTTCTTAAAATCCAAAAATCAATTAAGAGATGGATACGTATTACGAGAATTA